CACATCATGGTTGCAATGCGTTTGTTGCTACGGTCTACCACCCTAGACAGTATCGACGATTAAGGACGTGTAAAGTCTTTCGTACTTTTCAGTTTCTAGACTCTCATCTTGAAGCAAAACTGGGCAATAAGGACCTGAAGCTCTATAATTCTGATTACTAGCTGAGTGATCCAGTCAACACGGAACAATCTGGTGCTGGGCAGATAAGCCTCATCGGCAAAGGCAAGGGCGACTGGAATGGCCATTTCTGGCTCGTCAGGCGCCACCAGCCAATTATACCCAAGCCCAAGTGGTACACCAGCCGAGGGCCGAACGCGCAATCTTTTGATCAGAAGTTTAACACTAAGCATTGAGCCACGAGCTTGCTGGTTTAGATCGGGAGATATCGACATTCATTCATAAATGCCCATAGATTGCTAATGGAACTTTTTCGTCCCGTTGGGTTTTGGGGCTCACTCTCAAACCCAGCCAGCAGCGGCACGACGGCTAGTAGTGTAGGTAGATGACCACTGCCACCAAAAATAAAGAATTACTACTTATAACGCATTAGTAGTCATCAGCTGGTCATACCCAACCTCATGTTGTATATCATCAGAGGTTGGAACCCGCGACTTGTTGATCAGAAGTCCAACGTTCTAACTAGTGCGCCAATGGGCTCCCTGTTGCTGGCGGGGCTCGAGGGTGAGCCTGAGGGCAGAAGGAAGCTGGTGAGTTCCGGTAGCGGTCGGTGACCGTTCATCAAGGATTACTGGTGCCAGCACAAGCGAATAACTTGAGTCATGGTTCACGGGCCCCAAACAATTCCAACGATTTGCCCAATCCATATTTGGTGCTGAGACTCAATTAGGCCAAAGCAAGTCGCCACTTGGGGAGCGGACACGCCACCGCGTCAGCCTACGCCAACACCGGAGGGACAGATGGCCGAGCAATCATTACGCGCGAGTCCGCCGCGCTTGATGAAAGTTCAGCAGGTCAGAGCCCGAATGCCGTCCAGCAAACTATCCACGTGCAGGAAGGCAATTAACGTTAATTGTCACTGTATGTTCGCAGTTATGACTGTATCCTATAAATACTGCAAACTCCTGCGCATGTATTACCCGTTTCTGCTACCGGTTTATGCTAACGTCTCAGATGATGAATCCGCGACGGATGTCGAAACGTCAGGCGACTAAAAGTATTGTCCCAGCGATCGAGTTGTTTTCTTCTTATCGATTACTGGTGCTTTTCAACGCATCTTATTGCCTCAACGAGGTCAGCACAGCAGTTAGGGGACCAAATTTTAATGCCAAGAACGCCACAGAGTAGATTACTAGTCAGCGTTTATAAAGTTAAACATAGATATTGGAAGAGAGAGTTATCCTGTCTGACTTCTGAGTGGACGTTACCAACCTTCTGAATATTGTGGGGACACCTTCTTTCGGATACTCCCCTTGGTCTTTCTGTGTGGATGGTTTAAACTGGATGGCTGAGACCAGTAATGACAGCCACTGTCAACACGCTAAGCAATCAATACCCAAATTCTGGAATATATATTACTTACTGTTTATTTATTTTCACTGATGATACCCATGTAAGCATTCAGGAAGTCAAGTTAGGCGAACGAACGTTTTCAATTAATTCATCATCAGACAACATAGTAATATAAGGAACGGTAGAGTTAACGAAAGCTAAAGGCGAACCAATTAGTCGTCACTGGGGAAAGAGGATGTAGAGAGATGTAAAGGGGATGGAGGAATGGAAACCAGAGAAAGGGGGTGGGGAAGGAGGGGAAGGGGAAGGAGTCCGACAATTAGTTTATGCCGTCCTGTGGTCCTCGTTTCGAGTTTTTTTGGGAGGTGTGAGGGCGCAAGGTGTATTTATTTATTTATCACGTGCCAGTTTGCAAGCACGGTTCAAGCTCGTTGAATTGTTGAATTTCGGGACAGAGAAGAGTTAGCACAGGTACACGGTGTGGTCAGTCTCCCTTCATCGCTATAGATACGGGATTCCACACCATATAAACATGTATTGGCGAACGGTTGTTTGCTGTTGGCGGAAGAATTAGCCGACTGTGGGCAGCAGAGTCTGGCACAGGGTTCAGAGTCCGCGAACGCGGAAGAGAGATTATACTGAGTTAGCACCCAAAGTTCGTGAAAGATGTCTTGAATGTAGAAAACTAGTGACAGCTCTCTTAACCAAAGGATAGCTTTGCTGAATTTTGATATTTCTGGGTAGCTTATGCCAGACTTTTATGGCGTTTACTGAAAAAAAACTGGTGACATCTAACTTTGCGTGGCAGAGGAGGAAACAAAAAGACATCTCGATGGCTGGCGCGCAGAGAGTGGTCCAGCTGCCTCAGAGTACTAAGGAGATTAAAGGTACGACTCTTTAAAAACTAAAACAGCGAAAATAGTCCCTTCTGTGAACTGCGAAGCCATAACGGGCCACGATTAGTAAGCTCATAACGTTGCTGTTAGGACAGGTTATGGTGTTCTGACGACGCAATTCTTGTAGGAAAGAAATGCTAGACCGTTTCTTCCGTTTACTAGCACACATAGGGCTGAATAGAAACGAACAATATTCCAGACTAGATCCAACATACATTTTATAAAAGCTGATTCTAACGCTGATGGTTTTAAAATTTCTGAAAATAAACCCGGTGGTTCGGCATGCTTTCGAGACAGTAAATGCGCAGTGCTCTGACAGATTGAGGCCCAGCTCCATAATAACTACGGGCACATTTAGGTTGTGACCGTCTATACTTAGTTGAGGCTGAAGAACGTCACCAACAACCATGACGGAGCATTTGTGCCAAGGAAGAGAAAGGTTCCATGTGCAGCGCCACTGGGCAAAGGCTTGAAGATCCTTTCTTAAGAGCTCACGCACGATGTTTCGATCTGCCGATTTATATTATTAGGCAACTTTTTAATCCTCGGCATGCATAAAGCAGTTTGGAACATCGTTGACAAAAAGGTAAAACAAAAGCAATTGACTATCTATGCCAGAATCTCTGCCGATGCTGACTTCGGAGAGAAGGCTGCAGCGACTTACTGTTTCCTCTGCAGATGAAATTGTATTTTAAACTCATCACTCTGCTGTGTGTGAGATTTTTTTCACCCATTTCTGCCATTTAGCATCCGAATCTTCACAAACGTGGATAGCGTACCTTCGAACCTGGGTAATAACGGCACCTATGTGCTGCAGGAGTACATAACCAATCCTCTGCTGGTTGACGGCTACAAGTTTGATCTGCGGGTCTACGTCCTTATCACCTCTTGCTGTCCTTTGCGGATTTTTGTTTACAATGAAGGCTTGGTGCGGGTCAGTGCTGAGAAATACATCAGTCCGATTGAACCAAATGGCGTGAGTCACCAACAATGTTTACACACATTACCATGTCTACTTATGTATAGTAAGTAGCAAGTTCTATCCACAACGACTTAGTTGTATCTTGTCGAAGGGAAATAGCGCCTTGGTAAGGAGCCGAATGAAACGAGTTGACAAGCGAAAAACTTGGTTTCCTGACGTGACGCTTCCTTACTCTATTCAAAATTTAATCTTGTACATGACATTTATAAATGAGATTAGAGCAAATAAACAATGACACCCACCCTCATCGAAATAGCGTTGGCTTATTAGGAACTTCTTGCTTTTACAAATTAGATAATATCTGCATCTGATATTTCGCGTGTGTTTAGAGAGAAAACAAAAAGCTTTAAATATGACAGAAATTACTCAAAGAACTCCATCTTTGATGGAGAATTCCTCGGTGTAACCGTTATTCTGGGCTGTCTAAATGCAAGCTCTCCTTTATTCCGCCTTGTGTCATGTTTTGGTGCCAAGATGCGATGAAGAGTTCAAAACATACTGTTGATCGACAGCAAAAATCATAAGAGGATGCTGGTTTAAGCTGTCCGGCTTGTATAGGTCGATCTTCAGGGACGAGGGACAGTAATAGAAGACACGGCCTTTGCACTGTATTACAGGGAATTAACGCCGGTCTCGTGAGAATTTAATGAATATTAGGTAGAGAAATTTGTACGGACGCGTAACCCAGGTATGGATCAGTTTAATTCCTTTCAGAGATACAGGCTTCAACCGGCACATCTTTTCTCCTAAAATATGCTCGGAAAAGTTATAAAGCTACCGCTTAATCTTTCTAATCGCTCTTAAGATGTTGCCCCTTAGACTAGAGAAGTCGCCCACAACGGTGAGTTAGTAGTCGTTAAGAGTGACTGTGTATTGAACAGTGGGCAAAATCGCTGTTTGACCAACGTATTCACAACATTACTCTGGCTTTCTAGCCTAGCCTGTTATTTTGTAACTTTCGGATACTGTTTTAATTTTTGTCTATGTGGCTTGGTTTGTCGGAATGCAGCTCCTCTTATGCGTCTTTTGAGGTCACTGAATTTTCTCTTTGTGCTTCTCACATAGTTTTTATGTCATTCGGCTTGTGGATTTACTACCGAAACTTATAATGCTTCTCTGCTTAAATTTACTTAAGGTTACCTCCTCTAGACAAGTAGTATTGTTAGCAAGAACAAGGGAAACTGGAATGGCCATTTCTGGCTTCTTACTCGTCGCCAGCTAGTCAAACCCAATCCCAAGTGACGTATCACCCGAGGCTCGAACTCGCATCCTTTTTGATCAGAAGTCTAAGGCTCTAACCGCTGAGCCACGAGCTCGTTGCCTTGCCGATTTAGATCGGGAGTGTTGCGTTCCTTACTGGTCAACATTGCAACCCTATGAAAAAACTGCTAATACTTTAAGTGTGCCTGTTTTCTGAAGTCATTGGCATTGTACGAAGCGAAATATGAGCCAGGATGCACGGGCTGGTTCTATGAGACCCATATATCTGACAGATTATACATGTCGGTCATTAATAACTTAGCCTTAAGTAAATGTGCTCTACAAAAATTGCAGGAATCCATGTACAGACACCTGACCAACTACACCCTGAACAAGCGTCACCACCAGTATGTTCGTTGCGACGATGAGTCCACTGGTAGCAAACGTTCCTTCGCCTTTCTGGACAACTACATTCAGGTCAACCTCGAGTCTGATCCGCAAATCATCTGGCGTCGCATTCGAAACCTCATAGTCAAAACTATGATAATCGGTGCACCACACATCAATCATGCCTACCGCCTTTTTCACCGAGGGAGCGGCCGGCCCAGTAGTCTCAGTTATCCTTCCTGCGAGGCTCCCCGGCCAGCGAAAGGTGTCAGCAGAACGGTCTCAAGTTCTCAAATATCTGATCGTAGGGGCTGGAACGTGGCGGCACCTCCTGCTCAGCGAACAGTAAAAAACAACTCCAGTTCTACGGGCCGAAAGGCACCAGCCACCGCTGAGGTCGTCACCGATCGAGCAAGTATTGCCATGCGATCGGCTGCCTTTGAGATCCTTGGTTTTGACATTCTGCTGGATCGCAACCTACGGCCCTGGCTCATAGAAGTTAACCGCTCACCATCGTTCGGCTGCGATCAGGAATTAGATTTGCGAGTAAAGTCGGGCTTACTGCGTGATGCTCTACACCTAATCAATATACGGTAAGTCCCACTTTAATTTATGTTCTTTACCATGGCTACTTTTATGTTTTGAGTAAGCACTATTTTGCCAATTTACTATACAGACCATCCGACAAGCAAATGGCAGAAGAGGCAATGAAGGTGCGTTCAATAAGACGACTCCTTTCAGCCTCTCCAAGCCAGACATTGCTCTCTTCAATGTCCCACGATTCAATTCCGATGCATCGTCTCAGCCCAAAGTCAATGTCCAACGCCAGTAACAGGACCAGAAACGATATTTATGCAAAACACGGAAGTCTAAATTCTCAGGATCTGGCAGCCGACTGGCTGCAAAAACCTTCGGAATTGTATCGGCGAATTCGCGAACTGGTATGCCTGAAAACGTTATTTTTTTTCAATTGAGAGTCTGACATCCAGCTGCGCGGTGGTTTTCTGTTAACTATATGTTTTCTGGGAGGAGTCCTTCATCAGTCGTTAATCAGATGAATGTGAAGTTTGTGATTAAGTTTAGGGTTAGTGTTAACTATAGGGGTAAGATTTAAGGCAGAGTTAAGGTTGATATGAGGGATACCGTAACTGTTCGCACAGGGGAATGCTTACCCTTTCTGGAATTGTGCACAGGTCCAACTTTCTTAATTGGACATTCATATTCTCCTGCCGTGTTTAGGGGGCTACACAAGTTATTTTTACCGATAAGTATTCTAGGAATCGAGATTCCTAGTATTCTTGCTGACAAGTCGATCCATCGAAAGTGGACTAGAACTCTTTTCGGGAAAAACAACAGGAGGGTATTGGGAAGTAGGCAGATAGTATTGCCGGCAAAGGGAGACAGGAATGGCCATTTCTGGTTCATTAGCCGTCGATAGCTAGTCATACCCAGACTCGAGTGGTGTCCCAGCCAATCCTCGAACTCGCGATCTCACGACCAGAGTCAAACGCCCTAACCTTTGAGCTACGAGCCACGGCTGTCAGGACCTCTGTCAACACCCAGAGCAGAGCAGAACAGATGAGTTCTGTTAGTGATGAGGTGAAAGCTTATCAATGAGTGTCAATATCCCCTAGCCTAAACCAGCGAGACAACGAGCTCGTGGCTCAATGGTTAGGGCGTTCGACTTTGGTCAAAGAGGTCGCGAGTTCGAGGCTCGGGTGGGACGTCACTTGGGTCTGGTTACGACTAGCTGATGACGATTAATGAACCAGAAATTGCCATTCAAGTCTCTCTTGTCTTTGCCGATAGCACTATCTGCCTACTTCCGTCTATTACGGCTGTCAGAGCCTCTGTCAAGATCGAAAGCAGAGCGAGACAAATGAGTTCTGTTAGTGAGCAGGCGAATTTTCCTCAGTGAGGAAGGCATTTGGCTGCGACCAAAGGGTCAAGACTGCCCACCTTTTGAATTGAACCTGCTGCAGCCTATACCAAAGCAGACCACACATTGAATCCCGAAAGCTTGTGTCGCTCTCTCGACTAGTTCACTTGTTATGTTCGTAAAGCTTATACTTTGCACTGTGTCAGCAGACCCATTAACTA